ACCAAATGTTTATGATGTAAAAATAAATGATGTTACAACACAACTGAGTGCAACTGACTTTCAGAAGAACTTTACCTCCTCCTTCCAGTTCCAAATCTCATTATTCCATCGCAAGAAGTCTTTTTTAGGTATAAGTGAAAACTTTGGTTAGACACATCACCTGATTTTCATTCGCCTTTTGAAGTAAACTAAAAACAACTCACTGGAGTTTTTTTAAAAAATCACTACCACAGGAATGAGTAAAAAGACTACATAAGAAATTCACTCCATAACTTCTCAGTAATTCAAGCATGAGAGAGACCAGAGTATCTGAAGCAGTCAATCTGGTGCTGTAAAAGTTTTGCATTAACTGGAAAGCTGGTGAGGTTTGCATCCATTTGTCAATTCTACTCTTATTCTTTTAAATAATGCTAAAATGTTACATTGCCAGTTATTACAAGTTTCTATAGCCTAAATCATCTCCATCAGTAAAGGCAAACTAAACCAAGAACATTTTTGTTTTCTTGCTCTTAAGCAATTATTCAACACCTTCTTCCGCTTTCTACATAAGAGTTAAGCCTAACCTGGCCCCGAAAGACTGTTGTTTGTCTTGTTCTACCAATATTGTGATTTCTGGTGGGAAAAAGCCTAGATTCAAAGCAAAACCAAATCAACAAACAAAAAATATCACAAACAATAAAAAAAAGAAATACCTACAAACCAACCTAACCCAAAACAGAAAAAATGTCTTCATCATTCTGATTCTCTACCTTACCCTGACAATGTCACTCAGTTTAATGAAGTAGACATCATGACTGTCATAAACACTTTTTAAAATACTATACTGCCTTAGAGGACACAATGTAAGAGACAAATCTAAACCAGCTTAGATCTTGTTTCATTGACATGATTTTCCCACTGTTACTGGAATGATTTATTGATTTGTCTTTGACTGAAGAGAATCAAAGTCCTCTGCCTCGAGTTGCATTTACAGTGGTGCTCTTAGTCTACTTTAAAGTACCTGTTAAACAGACTTGGAAATTGAAACTCAACAGAGCAGTGAGTTTTTTATCTTACATTCATGATCACAGCACGTATCAAACAAAGTTTACTAAAGCATCACTTGGAAGTAAGTTGGAAAATTCTGTGTAGTGCTCTACTGTTTCTAAGAAACTTCTGCTGTTTCTGATTATCAGCAAGTTTGCTATTTTGGCATCACACTAGAGCCCCAGTGCCTCCATTTCTGACCCCTTCAAACAAAAACAAGCTGCTCAACAATGTCTAATCCGTGCGTCATGTAATCCTGCTTAATACCCTACAAACTCTGGGTAATATTTGGGTAGTTTTTAAATTTAGCAAAGAACATCCTGGCCTAGTTCAAAGATACCCTTGCCTTGGGTAGTGTCCCCTAGAAACATCACCCACACTAATTTCAAAGAAGAAAAGCAAACGCACACATATGCGTAAGAGAAATGAACAAAAAATAAAATAAGAGACTGTGGTCCAATGTCATAATGAAAACACAAAATTACAAATCAAATTATTGAAACGGGAATGCATTATGCAAACACCAAACACACCACTCGAACAATTAAAGAGGCATTCTGACTTTCTAACAGCGCTCACGGCCCCATTTGCCAGCGCAAGTGCATCAGACCCGCTGCTCCCAGCGAGGGCAGGGGGCCGCAGAGGACAGCGGCACAGCCAGTGCAGTCACGCGAGCCTTCCTCCCATCAACACTGAGCTATTAATACAGCTAGCTCTCTGCCAGGGAAACAGAAAATCCCTTCTTTGAGACGCCGTTTGCTTTTTGAAGCATCATTATCTTACAAGTGGCTCATACTACAAACACTACCAAAGAGGTCTGAACTAAGTCCCATTATAATTTTTCAGCAGACTATTCTGACTGTCCTACCTAAGATCTCTCAGACCCTCGCTGAAGGACAAATATGTTCCTATTTTGTTTAGGCTGTCAGGCAGACAGTCTCCAATCATTAGCCTCTTGTCAACAGCGATGCTGGGGTAGATTACTACTGTGTAGTGCTTGTAATAGCAGGTGCATGGCCCTGGGGCTGCCATCTGCCAGGAAGGAAGTGTTCTCCTCTAGGATGCTGAAGAGATTGACAAATAATGTAAACAAAACACTGAATCATTCCTAATCTATGCAATAAAGCTATTACGTTACTCTTCTGCAGTGTAGATGTCACCATCAGAGGTGGGGGCTTAGGCTTGTGACTCAGGTTGTTTTTTCCAAACTATTTTTGTGATTGATATACTGAGACAAAGAACACACTCTGAAGTAACTTTTATTTAACTGAGATGGACAATTCTAGATTTGAAAACAAACAAACAAAAAAAAACCGCACTAGCATCAAAGACGCTTCTTTTGCAAAGTGTCTCCCCACTGTTCACTTGTAACAAGCTTCTTTCCAGAGTATATTTACCCTGTGAGCAAGAACTTGATTTTTTTAAAATTACTATTTTTGATACAGCTGTATATTTGGGGTGGTCAAAAATTGATAAATGTTTTGAAGTATTTTTTAAAGCAAAAATAATAACAGAACTCCAAATACTGTCCTTGGTCTTTTAAATTAATTTCTAAAGGGATTTCTCATGATCAAATTGAAAATCTTTCCTAAACAGTCCCAGTTTAGTATCGAATTTGTCACCTGAGCTACCAAGCAACAGCATAACTCCATGGAAATAAGTAGGCACTTAGCTATTCTTCAGGAAAGTTACTCATTACTGTTTAACTGACTACACAGAGATTATGAACTACTGCTGTCTCTGAGCCAGCTTCAAATGTTACTAGACATGTTAGCACTTTAAAACACCAAGAAATACTTTTAGGTGACCCTCTGTAAGCAATCTTTGCATTGATTTTTCTGTGGTTTGCATCAAGCTTGTAATTCCCAAAACTTAAAAGCTTGTGCTAACTACAAACACAGCTCTGCAACTGAGGGATTCATTCTGCCTGTATTACTGTGGAAACTGCAAATATAATCCAAACCAGTAATCCTGGCTTCCTCCAAAGCTGACAGAGATGCAGGGTAAAATGCATGCTACTTTATAACTGGCACTTAAAAGACAATGGGAGCAGTCACCTTTGCTGGTTCTGTTTGCTGCTGCTGGTTCTCTAGAGCCCTGGCAGACTGACTAATCCAAGAAGCCCACATGCTAGATAGCTAAAGGCAGTTGACATAAACAGAAGTGTAAAAAAACAAAAAACCAAAACAACAAAACAAACAAACAAATTTTCCTTTGAGAACTCTGCTGCAGGAAAGCTGGCATTTTCAACAACCAGCAATAAGGGGACTATTGAGCTGAACTTGGCTTTTCAAAGCTGCCACTCTTGACCCCCTACACACATACGCACAAAACTTTAAAAATAACTACATGCCAGACAACAGACACAAAGAAAACACATCTGAACTTTGGAGGTCACTACACCATCTCAAGTATATAAAAAAATCAAGGGATAATACTAATTTCCATGCATACACAGATCACTTCTAAGCAAATATTGTAAGAAGCTACAAAAAAAACCCAGAGTTGTGAAACCCTCATAATTACACATCCTAACTTAAAAAAATCAGTCAACATATACACTTTAAATTGCTATTACACATAGTGCATCAACTTAATGTTAAAACTTCCACAAAATTTGCTACATCATGACTAACACAATGAACACAGACAAAAAGAAAAAAAAACATATGGACAACCAGTATAAAAGCTATACTATATTTCAACAAATTCAGAAGAAAAAAAACCACAGATATAAACTTTTTTTTTTAGATGTTTATTACTTTAACGAGAAACATATTAATGGTGCTTTCAGAGAAAAACTTATAGACAGAAAATACCTGGATGTAATTATGCTGCCATTTAACTGCTGAATAGGTAGGGAAGTTAGTTTTCATACAGTAACTGGCTAAATTTTTCAGTGGATGCTTGCTGTGTTTTAGCTTATAAACCACTTCAGCATTCCAGTGTAATTAACACCATTTTAGAAATAAGAGCAAATCAAGTGTTAAGAAACCCATGCTAGTCTCTCCTTTCAAAAAAAACAGACAAAAAAAAAAGACAAACCAACCCCACCATATAAAACATGCCCTAATACTCTTTCTGTTCAAACACCCCTTTATTCTTCTTACTTGCAAACAAACGTCAGTCTATGTAGCTATCTTGAAAGAAATCAAGTAATCAGAAGCAATAATCAACCTAAGCATTTCCTCTGCCTTGAGCAATGACTGTACTGGTTCATTTTAGAACAAGCCCACCATTCAATCTGGTCTATAACAATTTATCTTAAATGACTCCAAGTAACCATGGCATTCTTTCTATGAGCAGTATAGCTAAACATCATCTAAAGCAAAAAAAAAGTCTAATAGATGTCATGATATTCTATCTGCTTGTAACAAGCTGACACCCATACAATCAACACAAATTAAGATATTAAAAGCTTCATTTAACCCTAGATAATTTCAGTTTACATTTTGTGTTTCATTAGTGGCACTGCTAGGTTCAGATATAACCATTTTCATTAGGTCGCCTGCAAAGTGCCATCTGAAGATAGTAAATGATTTTTGAGACGTCTAAAGAAAACCTCAAATTTTTAATTCTAAGTGCAAGTTAAAAACTCAAGCTATATAAGTTATTAAAAGTAGCTCAGTTCTTTCTGCTGTTAGTTTGATGTTCTTACAGAACTTAACAGTAATATAAACTACTACAATGGATTTATTCAAAAAAGACTTTAAAAGTGCATAGATTTCTAACACGGCATACAGTTCTTTTAATACTTTAAAGAAGTCATTTTAAAATGAGCACTAATTTTGTTAAAGAGACAAACATTCTCATGCTGCTCTGAGAACCAAAACTTTTTGGCAGTTGGCATATGAAGAGAAGGTAAAAAAAAAACCTAATAATATCACTCATTGTGTAAAGTAATCCCAAAGCAAAAGGAAACAAAGTTTATGTCTTCCACAATCTAAAATGCCATTAGAAAGACAGAGGAAGAGATTTCTTAAAACAGGTTTTTTTATTGTTTAGGTGCAAACATAAAACCCTCACAAAACTAAAAGCTAATTGACAAGGCGAGTGCAAGGGGTGGATCACTATTACCAAAAAATCACCTTACTATGATTTTAAGTAGATGCATTACAGCTGATGGCTTCTCCAAACAAATCAAGGCAAAAGAAACTGACACAGGAGGGAAAGAACCCTCAAGGATTCTTTCATTATTACACATAACATCTGTTCAGTTTTAGAAAACCAGACCAACTACTAGAAACATTTACAAGTTAGGACTACAGAGCACTCTGTGAATGGAAAAGAAAACAAAATTAAAGATAATCCAATCTGGTGATTTAGATTAAGGAAAATTCCCTATTATACATCCAGTATATTTAATGGTAATCTTAATTAATACATCCAGGACTACACGCAAAGGGTAAAATCTTAACTCCATTGAGACAGAAACAAAACTTCTATTTGACTTCAACTTTGACTTCAGAACTATGGTTCACCATAAAAAGTCACATCATTGTTGTGTGTAATCTGTCATAAATATACTGAAATAAATAATACACACTTTATGAGAAAAATGAGTGCAAACATCTCCATAAATAATGAAATCCATACACAGTCCATATGTTTCTAAGCAAAAAAGCGGTCAGCGGTCATAATTTAAGAACAAAGGCTTGTTATTAGCAAGCAACACATTTTAACCCACCAATAACAGTATTATTTTATTTACATATCAGATGAAGGCAATTGTTTCCCCAACTCCTAAATATCTGCACACTTTTAAAACACAGTGAAACTAAATGAAGCGATAATTTCAAGCAAGCTTTTAACTGTTCTGTTTCGACAGCAGCTGTGGATGCACTCTTTGCTCTTGCCATGACAGGATAATATGGGCAGAGATGTCCAAAAGCAAAGCACTCCCTAAAGCAGAGGCAAGTTACTGACAGCAGAGAAACACACTACATGTGAAATCCAGCCACCTTTAAATTATATAAATAATTTTCCCTAAAACACATGTATGAAAATACAACTGCTGCTATAGACTTTAAGGAAGAACTCAAACTGATTTTTTACATGTATTTTGCACAAATCAAAATCCTTAAAGAAGAACTCAATACATGTTTTTTTACATGTATTTTGCATTAATCAAAATATTAATTTTCTGAGAAGGTAATTACAAGGAGCTTGTTTGTATACTCTGTATCTCAGAGTCTCCTGTTCTAAATATTAAACAAAAGTGGGTTCTCCATCATTTTAGAATTACTAGAAACCACTCTTGAAGTAAAAGTTCCCACTTTTCTAATGTATTTAAAAACTAAGTTTGAAAGAAGTGTGAACTAAACAAACAAGGCTGATTATATAATCTCTCCCTTGTGCAAATCAGTAATTTTTACAGAATTAGCCTTTCTCAAATCTACAAAAATTACTACTGTTGAAATAATCTTGTCTATGAGCAAAATACAGTTTTCTTTAAACAGATTATGTTTCTCAGTAAAATATTAAATTCTTAGTAGTGTCCCAAATCACAATGTTTGAAACTCAAATACATTACCAAAATTTTGGGTGACCTTTTTAAGCAGTGGCAGAAGACCTTCCATAAACAAACTTCAGTGTGAAATCCCAATGAAAACCAGAAGGGAAACTAGGAAATTTGCAGAAGCTTATTATTTGATTAAACTTACACCAACTAAGTCCTTTATGATGTATTTTGCCTTCCCCATGCTGTGACTTTCCCAGTTGGGAGGCCACAAGTGCAATTAACCTGATGCCCACCCCATTTTTGGTACCCAACCCACTGTTGGCTGAGGATGCTGGTGGTGTGAGGTTCTTCCTTACTACCTTGGCCTTACTCTGGTTCCATCCTTCCATCCATCCATCCATCCCTGCATCCCGTACCTCTGAGTGCACCCTACAGGCTGGCACCCTTCTCAGGGAAGCGAGGTGCTGGAGAAGACAGCCCACCTCCTACAGATAGGGTCAATCCCAACGAGCCTCCCCGCACCATTCCTCCATGTGATCTGCGTTTAGAAGCTTACGGGAAAGAGGAAAAACAAACACACATGCAGATTAAATATTAAAATAAGGCAAGCCTATAACCGTCCTTGGACAAACACACGCAGCAGCAGCGCTGAGCCCTCTCCGCTGTAAGGCTGTAACACTAACACGGCTGCGTTCTCTGCGTTATCCTTTTGTTTACAGGATGGGAAGGACAGCGCTCGTTTCCCTCTCCTTATCTGACCGCTCCCATTCCCGCGTGCCGCCTGCCGCGCTCCGTGCCGGGTTTTCCCGGTAACCCCTCCCCCCCCCCCTTTCCCAGCCCAGGGTAAGCAGTTTGGGGAATGCTGTGGAAATAGCTCTTTCCCAACACCGGGCTTCATTTGTAATTGGGGCTGGAGGTGGCTCAAGACAAGCTCCTCGTTTCTGCGAAAAATCCGTTTGCAAAGCAAAGGGGCGTGATCGTCTGCCGGCGCCCAGGACCGCCACCTCAAGGCCGGGCAAGGAGAGCGGGGGCTGCAGCATCCGCACCGGGCTCGGGCAAGCCACAAGGATCCTGAAAGCGACCCCAGCAAAACCAAAAGCAAGAGACAAATAAGGCTCGGCCCTCAACCCTTCCAGTCATTCAGAATAAGCCTTCGTCTTTTCAAACTCTGACATTGCATTCAACAATCCTCTCGTCTTAATTAGGTTCAAAGCTTGCTCTGCAAACGGTGGATCTCTCATCTTTTCCATCTTCCTGTACTTCCTATCAAAAGAGAACATATTTTCTTCTTCAAAATCAACTAGCTACTAAGGAAACACAAGGAAAAAGAAAATTGCAAGTGGCTCATACAAGCTTTTGCTGCTCACTTGTTATCAACGCCTCTATCGGCACTGTGAATAGAGAAGCAATACCTATTCTTCTCCAAGCAACTACTACATGGCTTGTCATTTCACCCAGCTATACCCATGAACATATATTACAGCTATCTATGCATAAGAGCTTGACTACCATGTCTGTCATAAATCCAAGAGCATCCTTAAAAGCATCTCATTATTGACTTTTCCTCCTTGACAGATTGGGTGTTCCGTGCCCTCCTCAACCAGCCTCCAGCTGTGTACAAGCCCTAGCTCACTGAGAGAAGGGGGAGTACTGTTTTGGGGAAGAAGGAAAGGTATTTGTTTCTTTCCTTTTTTTCTCAGCATAACCAGCACCTAATTAAAGGAACAGCTACCTACTGAAAAGCTAAATTCTCTCTCACCCTAAATTTCAGACTTCTTCAGATTGTCACGCAACACTTGCAACCCATGAGCCATCAACCGGAACATTGTTACACACCAACACAGGCTGGGCCCTTAAGTGAAATATGCCACACAGCAGCTCAAGCACATAGCGACTTCTGGAAAGAATTACCAATTTTTAAATTCACATTCCATGCTCACTATGACTTACTGTCAGACTTTTGCAAGAGATAAGGTATTTCAAAACCATGATATTAATTTTATCCTTCTCAATTTGATATTACAGACCTTCTCAGCTAGAGAGCCAAGGATTGTTTCTGTAATCCGATGTTCCCAGTCAAACAATCTTGGTCTTAACTCAATCATTTTATATTTTTAAATAGCATCTAGAAGTTGCATTAACATAAACTATTTAGGTCAAATTTTCCAAACATTTTCCAAAAATCTTACTTAAGAAAACTCTTGAATACAGCCCAAACATAGAAACCGAGTAAACAGCAACTTCTCATGCAGTACCCAGAAGTATAAACACATAATAACGACACAGTTGTACTGAAAAAATTCAACCTTTTTCCTCATACAAAGAGCCACCAAGTTCCTCCAAGACTGCTTATTACATAAAAAGGGATAGAAGTGATTTTTAAGGAAGCGAAGAGACATAGTGCTCTACACAACAACACACAACCTTGGTAAACACAAAACACAAACACACAGCAGGCACTGTCAGACGTAGCTACTCACCTTTCACAGCACTGGCTTCTTTCAGGTTGTGAGACAGGAAGTCTATGCTGGCATAGGTGCTCATCTCTACTCCATTGATGCCCCCATTCAGGAGGTGCCTAGCTTTCAACCTGGATTTGTCACAGTTTGCCTGGGACCCATCCACTACATCAATGGCGATGTAGTTGAGGCCATTCTGGAAGCCAGCCGAGGTCTCCCGGCACATGGGACTGCTACCCTGCTCCTCCTCCAGGCCTTCGCTTTTCCTGAGGGACACGTTCTCCACCGAGGCCGAGTTGTGTCGTTTGGGGTTGTGTGCGAAGGAGGGGGACACTGGGGTCACAGTGGTGGTGGAGGAGAAAGTTTCTGAGCTGTGCCTCCTCCGCCCCTGGGGATCTGCCCGGATTACTTTCGCCCCCCGATTCGGGTCTGGGGGAGGGCTGGAGAGAATGAAAGCCTCCACCCCAGAAAGGGTGAGCCTCTTCACGCCAGATGTGGGGCTGGTGACCCGGGCACTTTCTGGTTTCTGAACGATGGGTTGAGGTGGGGTAGTGGCCATGCCAAAGGTCATCTCGGTGTAATCACCGCCATCCGATGGGCTGGACGAACAAGCAACCCCCACAGCCGCCTTCAGGTAGCACCCGTTGGGCTGGCTGGTGCTGGAGGAAGAACCCGGAGAGAGAGCTTCCAAGGAGCCCACTGAGACCGTGCCCGACTGGGAGGGTGACTGTGACCCGAAGTCAATGTTCATGTAGTCGGAGAGAGGGGAGCGCCTCTGCCCCGTGCCTGAGCCCAGGGAGGAGGCTGGGCTGTCAGCAGGCAGCGAGGGGGGAGAATACACAGCAGCATCCCCAAAGTCAATGTTGATGTATTCACCAGGGCTCTTGGGCTCAGGCGGCAGAGGGTGCTCGTTCATGCTGGGCAGCATCGTCCGCAAGGTCTCCAAAGAAAGGCGGCTGGGCCGGGCCACCCGCTGGCACCGCTGGCTAAGGAAGCTCTCGGTCCGGCTGTGCCGCAGGGGCGAAGGCACCGTGTGGCTGGAGGGGGCGAAGGTGCCTGCAGGCAGCTGGCTCGCTCCACACACCGCCTCCTCCGGGATCATCCTCCCCGGGGAGTTCATGAACACATACTGGTCACTGTCCTTTGCCAAGCCCTGGCTCTTGTAGGAGCGGGGTAAGGAGCTGTATGAATAGCAGCTGGGCTTTGGGGGCTCACTAGACCCGTGCTCTGAAGGGGCAAAAAAGAAGTCTGGGGGGGTGAGGGAGGGAGCGTGGGGCCCGTTCTGGGGGTCTCGAGGGGACATATTGATATAGTCGCCGTTACTCAGCCTTCCATCTGAGCTCTCCACTGACAGCTTGGAGCCGCACCACATCCGCATGTACCCGCTATCGTCAGGGGAGCTCTCCCCAGGCGAGCTGGTCTTGTAGCTGCTCCCGTTCCCCGGGGACCCACTACCCACCCCTGCCCGGGGCTGCAGGATCTGCTTGGGGGCAGACACGCTGGTGGGGCTCATGGGCATGTAATCATCGCTGCCCCGGCTTCCCTGCCCTAAGGATGCGGCCACACCGGGGGTCATGGGCATGTAGCCGTCATCATCTCCCCCTCCTCCCCCCACTGCCGGCGGGCCCAGATTGGTGCTGCTGCTGCCGGAGCTGCGGTGAGAACCGATCTCGATGTCCCCGTAGTCCTCGGGGTAGGGGGTGTAGGTCACTTTGGGGGAAGCCCCAGCTTGGCAGGAGGGGAAGAGGCGGCCGGCGCTGCCGGCGAAGGTGGCGCGCATCAGCGTGTACTCGTCAAGGGAGGCGGAGGAAACCTGCGGCGCGGCGGGTCGCTGCCGGCACGGCGTGGTCAGGGAGTAGGTCCGCTTCCGATGGCACCTGTCGCTGGCAGCGTCGGGACAGGGCCGGTAGCAGAGGCGGCCACTCGGAGGCCGCTCCATCGCCATGTAGCCGTAGAGGTCGGTGCCGCCCCCCGGGTCCCGCACCGGGGGAGTCTCGGCCACCGACTCGGGGGTGTTGCTGCGATTGCTGGCAGTGGAGGAGGAGGAGAAGGGCCGGAGGTCGCCGCCTGGGCTGGAGCCGTACTCATCGAAGGACATAAAGCCGGCGTCGCTGGGGGAGCCGGACACGGAGGCGCTGCCGCTGGACGGGCGCTGCGGGTGATGCGGATGGGCAGTCTCGGAGCCGAGGCCGCTACTGGAGGAGAGGCTGATGGGGCTGGTGGCGGAGGGGGGCGAGTGGGAGGCGGGCATGGACATGGAACGGCTGCTCTGCAGCCCGCCACTGCCGGCCAGAACCGGGAGCAGCTTCCCCGCCTGCCGCCCCCCGCCGCCGCTGAGCGTGTGCGAGCGGCTCAAGGGGGTCCGCACGGGGCCCGGGCTCATGGGGCTGCCGGCCGCAGAGCCCACCCGGCAGCCGTCGCCCTCGCTGGCCGTTCTCACCCGGCACGGCGTGCACTTGGTGCCGGCGCCGGCGGCGAGGCTGTCGGTGCGGGAACGGCGGAGGAGGCCGGTCTGGCTGGGAGGCAGGTTGACCAGGTGGTGGTGCCGGCGACCGGGCACGGTGATGGGGTGGGTGGCGGAGGCGCCGCTGCCGCCGGGCCCGCCGGCCCCGCCGGAGGAAGAGGAGGAAGAGGACTGGCTCTTGCTGCGGGGCCGGAACTCGGACAGCTCCTTCAGCGCCTTCATGGCCTCCAGGATGGTCTCGTGGATGTTCTGGGCCACCACCGAGTCGTCCGCTTGCATCCAGAGCTCGCCGGGACCGGTGGCGGCCGAGCGCCCCACCTCGATGAAGAAGAAACTGTCGGAGTGGCCGCAGCGGCGGATGTTCATCAGCTGCAGCGTGACAGAGGGCAGCTCGCAATTGAGGCGCACGAACCCAATGGTGCGGGCCGAGAGGCAGAGCCGGTGGACGCCGGTGAGGTTTTTACTCTGCCCCAAGCCCTTGGGCTTCAGCGTCACCTGCCAGACCTCTCGGTAGGCAGCGGTGGCGGGCGTGATCAGCCCGTAGTTAAGGTCTTCGCCGGCGGCGGCCAGGGAGGCGGCGGCCGCGCCGCAGGAGGCGGAAAAGGGGGAGGCGAGGTGGCGGTAGGGGGACCCTTGGCAGGCCGCCTTGCCTTCGTTGAGCAGGTCGGTGAGAGCCCTGTACCAGCCCTCCTGCTCCTGCTCGTTCTCGGCAGCCACAGCGAAGTACTCGTCCTTGGTGTAGAGGGCGATGAGGTACTTGTGCTTGGCGTCCGCCCGCTTGTTGATGTTGAGGCAGGAGTCCAGGGAGATCACCCGCTTGGGCGCCCCGGACTTGTTCCTCCATTTCTTCTCGCTCTCGTAGTACTCCAGCCGGGCGCCCCCCGCCTCCTCCCCGCCGCCGCCCGGGCCGCGAAGCACGAAGAAGCGCTTGTGGCCGTGCTTCTGCTTGCGCAGGTACCCGCACTTCCTGACGCCCTGGTTGTTGTTATTGTTGTTGTTCAGGTTGGGGCCGGGCGGGGAGCTCAGGGGGGGCAGCAGCCCCAGCACAGCGGGGCTCGCCATCCCCAGCCCCGCGGCGGGAGCGCCGCCCGGCTCCTCTCGCTGCTGTCGCCGACGCTGAGCGGATCCGGAGCCCGAGCGCCGCGGGGAGAAAAAAAAAAAAAAAAAAAAAAAAAAAAAAGAGAAAAAGAAAAAAAGGAAGGATAGAGGGAAGCAGGTAAAATAAAGTTATTCCTTCGTAGAAGAGCGCGGTGCCCGGAGCCGCAGCGGGATCCTCCGCTGTCACCTCTAGGCAGCGGGTGCTGCCGGCGGCCGCCCGGCGTCCTCCCCGGCTTGAGCACCGGCGACGCCGCTAATGCTCCCCGACCGCTGCTGCTGCTGCTGCTGCTGCCGCTGCTGCTGCCGGCGCCGGCGGGAGTTTCGCCGTAAGTAACACATCGCGCACCGAGTGCCCCAACTAAAGAGCAAAACAACACGTGACCGCCGCCTCACCGAGGCGCTCACACACCAAGACGGGGCGGGGCGCCGCCGCCGCCGGCACCGCCCCGCATTGGCCGCCGGGCAGCGCGAAGGACGGCCGCGGCCCTCAATGGGGCTGCGGGGCGGGCTCTCGGAAGCGAGGCGGCACGACGCCGTTGGACGGCGGGAGCCTCGCCCCCCACCTCCTTCCCGCCCCTCCGCGTTCCCGCCCACAGCCTCCGGCCCCCCTCGGGCGCAGCGCGAATCGCCGCTCCCGCCGCTGCCTTCGGCGCACACGGCGCGGAGCGGCCCGGGGACGCGGGCACGACGGGGACACTCGGCACATGCGGCGAGCCCCGGCGCTGCCCCTCGCCATCTCTCGGGACACGGCGGGGCGCCGGCGGAGCTCGCCGAGGCCATATCAGGTGCTGCGGACCCGCCGGGCGGAGCTTCCGGCCGTGCGTGAGCGCCGGGCGCCCCCCGCACGCCCCCGCGCACACGCGCGTGTGCGTCAGCCGTGCCCGCACACGCGCGGCGGCTCCGCGCTCCTCCGCCCGGTGTGTCACAGCGCCCACGCCGCCCCCGCCCGCAGCGCCGCGCTGCTCCCGCTCCGTGCCGCGGGGAAATGCCACCCAGGGAGGGCCGGGGGGCAGCGGCCGCCACTGTTAGTCCGTCTTAATTAAACTGCGTTAATGTATCCGGGCGCTTCGCTTTGGTGGCGAATGAGGGCAGCGTCCGCATTTCCTCTGGAAACGATCCCGGCCCCGCTGGGGGATCGCGGCGCGGGGATTACGGAGCAAGCGGCGGCGGGGGCAGAGCGTCCCCGGGGCCCACCGCCTCCCCAGGGGCCCCCGCCTCCCTGCTCCTCCCGCTGCCGCTCCCTCAGCGGGGGCTCCGTGCGGGGGCTCCGCGGGGCGGGGAACGACGGAGGCGGGGGGTGCGAGGTGTCGAGCTTGTTTACAGGGACCCGCACGCTCGTCACCGGGCGGGCCGCGCCCGGGGATCAATGAGCGCCTTTCTCTCCCCGCCACCGGAGGGAGGTGAACGGCGGAGGGGCCCCGGCCAGGGTGGGCGGCAGGAGGGGCGGGGGTCTGTCCAGCTCGCATTTTCCTGTGTGAGGCGGGAGCGGGGGAAGGAAGGGGGAGCGCAGGGGCCCAGGAGGGGGCTTCCGGGCGGGGATGCCGGGCTCTCGCCCCCCGATGAGGGCGGTCGCGGCGCTCACCAAGAGTGGTGCGGGGAGAGCAGCGATAGTAAAAGTCGAGGGATGCAGGGAAGAGGCTGTACTGACACCGTCCAGCCTGTTCTAACCTCAGCCGCATCTCCGCCCGCCTCGGGAGCGGCTGGGGAAGCCTCCCTTTGCACATGCCCGGGAAGAAAAGTGAGGCTGGGGTCACGTAAACATCCATCCGTGTTTTCCCGATTCTTCCTGGAGTGCCGTCGGACGCGCTTTCATTTGTCGGCCTACGCCGAAACAGCCAGGTTTGCGAGTAAAGACGAGGGGAAAAAAACCCACAAAAACAACACCGCAAACAAACAAGTGAGGGGAAAAAAAAAAAGACGAAAGTGATGCGGCGCCTCCAGCTGCCGCCGTGCGGGGCCGTGGCTGAGCTCTCCCCGTGCTCCCGACGGAGCCCGCAGCCCGCATGAACCGCTGGTGCTGCTCAGCTCCCTCCTGCACGAAATTCTCCCCCGTTTGGGTCATAGTAATGCATTTAGAATTTACAGCTGTAACAGCGGGGAGGGGAGCGTGATTGGAAAAGACCACTTCACTGTAAATACCGGTATGCCGCAGTAGAGCATCTTATGAAGGAAGACCTCTCCCATCCTCTTACGGGAAAATAATAACATTAACACCAGGTACTAGTTACCGAGGTTTATTAAATTTTACGGGGGGGTTCAACGGAGTTAGAGGAGTAATTTGAGATCAGAGGCACCAACCACTCCACAGAAGCAAGAAAAGAGCGTAACCTTAGGCAAGGTACCTGTGACCTCTCTGTAGCTGTGTGATTCTTCACAGAAAATGATGCTGACAATCTTTACTGGCCTGGTAATTTGCTTTGATTCCTGTATCTGGAAAAATGCATAGAATTGGTAATTGTAAACTTAGATTATATGTAATGATTGGATAAGAAATATCAGCAAGGACAGCGTCATATGAAAACTCAGGAATAGCTGATTTTCTAGCTATGACTATAGCAGGTCAAACTATGTCCTGTATCCACACTACCAAAGACATAAAGGAATTAGTTATCTAACTAAAAGTTTCTTGCCACTGGGTGATCTGGGCCTATACCTTGGGAATTTGAAAATATTTTCCCCAGACATATATGAAATATTTTGGTGAACTTGAGCAAACATTCTTAGGTCTGAAATGTAAAAACAATAAATATTATTTCATCTCTTCAACATTGTCACATATGACATTCTTGACCATGTGGGTAAATAGACATTCAATATACTGGCTATAGCAGCACAGGTTTGTTTGCAAACAATTTCTGTGACATAGAGGTTAGGATAGACTAGAATCCAAGGATGCGGTTTTTATTTCTATATTGGCATTGATATATATTTAGCAGCTCATTTTTAGCAGTGGTTGATTCATAACAAACATTATTTTTCCATAGTTATGTTTGGGGTTTGTTTTTTAGTGCATAACTGGGGTACTGAACACAAGAAGTGGGACTCAGGCATGTGTAAAATTCAGATTAAAAAGTAAATTTTTTAATGACCAACACTCTGGAATGAATGAACCTAGTTTACATAGATGATCTGCCTTATTCAGAGTTTTCTCTGAACTCTTCTGAATAGTTTTTCAGCACTATATTGCTTCTGAAAAATTTTCACAGCCATTTCAATGTAATTACAGGGTATTTAATTACAATAAATGCACTAGTACCACTAGTCCATTCCACCTTTCAGCTAAAATTCACTGGTCCTACAGGCTTTCATGATTTAGCTATTCCTGTGCATTGGGTAGTAATGTTTAATTTCTGAAATAAGTGAGTTTTCAGAGATACATAGGGCTGTGAATTGGGATGGTTAAGCACAACACATGCACCCTTTTTCCACCAAACAACTTCACGCACAACATAGGGGTGACAGAATCTTTACTAACGCAACAGATTTGCTAGAGGATGTGTGCTTAAATCATCTCTATAGAACAATTTCATCATCATGAAAGAAAAAATTACCCTGTTTTACCCTCCCATTCTTTTTCTTCTGTCATATTACCCTACCCCAACTCTACTTCACCACATCCACCTTCCAGTTTGAGATCTTGACTGGGAATGCTTTGCTAATATTTAAGTACACCAACCAAATAGTTCTAATATTAGCATCTTTCCTGCCTGCTAAACTATGCTTTTGCCAGCATTCCAGGCTTCAGCCATTTCCTTTTTCCTCCAAGAAAAATAAACCGTGTTGGGTAATGGTCAGATTTATCAAAATATACTATCTATGTGAGGGGCATTTGCTATCAGTTATGTCTGTCATAAAACGTTACCTCTGTCCACCCTAAAATGACAGGGGCATGCTTAGAAAATTATAGACCCTGCTTTTGGCAATGAAGTTTAGATACAGCAAATACAGTTTTGGCGGCACAGAGCCCTACTGATTGCACATTTCCATGCTTCAAATACTTGAGGTTCCTTAGCTGTATTAAAAAAAAAATAAAAAAAAATTGTGATGATTTCATTTATGTATCAATGTATTTAAACTTCATGTTTTCATTACTGAGCTATATGGATATAGCTCAACACTGGCCAACAACACTGTTTTGCAAGCAATGAGCTTCTCAAGCCATTGGTGATTTTTGCTTGGGAAGGCTGTTTTTCTGAATAATGGTTAAATTATAGAATTTATTACTTCTAGATGCATGCAATTTGTTTTAGTTACATCTGGAAGCTTGATTCTCCAAACCCAGCACACACAGGATCCAGCTGGGGTTTTTTGTTGTTTTTTCCCTGTCCCTCTCCCCTCCACCTCCCATTAGGGGGACTGAACCACGAGGCCCTATGAATATGTAGCTATATTTAAATACTGCCCAAAGTCACTGCCCGTTACTCAAAATACACTTTCTGAAGGACTGGATGCATGAGTAGGTTGAATCTCAAAATTTGTGACATCCTTTAAAAATACATTTTTCCTTTGTTCTTATTCTAAATATAATTTTGAAATATCTTTCAACATCAGGATAAGGAGTAACAGTTGAAAGGATGTGTTTGATGTTTGGCTTGGCTGTTGCCTTCTACCTGTTGCCAGGTTCACAGAGCTGATGGTAGTGAAGCCATGGGAAAAAGGTGCAGAGCAAGATTATGTGCGTCAGCAACATTTTCTTATACTATCAATAGTACAGTTATCTGTTCCAACAAAACAGAGTGATATATATTTTGATGTCCTTGAACTTCTACATAAACAGGTGAAGTCAGTTTATACCCTGGTACATTTATTTGCATATTCCTGATACAGTGTCATTCTGGTTATACATTTCATAACCTGAGTGTAAGAGGACATGAACTCCCATCAACTTGTTTCTAACCTTTCTCAACTCCTTTGAGTGCTAATGTACCGTGACTGTGCTACTATCCAGCTAAGAAGTCTGTGTTATTTGGGAGGAAGGACAGACCATCTTTCCAGATAGTTTTATAAAAGACTTTGTTGATACTACTTATTTAGTGATCCTAGCAGCGGGTTTTAATCCTTTATAGCAAGACTAATGCTAAATGATATAGTTGCCCTTACACTTAAATAGGGGCTGCCAAATTTTTTTCCCCGGTCCCGTGTAAACAACTATGGGTGGCTTTGTACAGGAGAGGAAGATACTTAGAAATCACAGACTCTAAAAATACTTCTTAGGTAAAGGTTACTTGCTTCAGTGAATATCGCACCAGTTTTCCAGAGAATTCCAGGTTAAATAAATAGGGGTTACAGTTATGCAAC